ACTATGTCTTGGATCCTCCTGATTAAATGTACTTTCTTTTGTTTCTTCTCGAGGTCGTTTAGATCCTTCACCAATCGACTCACATTCCTTTTTATACGGATATATATTTTCAAAGAACTCAGCATTATCTAATTTTATAACCGTATTATTATGAATGTCGGGATTTTCTGATTTATGAACTAGAAATCGATATGCTTTACTATTGGTCGCATATCCTATGAAAACACAATCAACGGATTTCGATCCTATTTTTATCATTTTGGGTTTAGGAGCTTGCACTTTTGCCAAACACCCCCACACTTTGAAATAATTCAAGTTGGGCTTCCTTCTTTTCCATTTTTTATATGGAATGATTTGTGTTTTCCTATGAGGTACTTGAATTAATATTCGGTTAGCCGTAAGAACGCCTACCCCCCTCACAAGTTCTATGGCAAACCAGAACTTATCAACAATGCATTTATCATCTCCTTTAATGAACGATTCTTTCTTACCGCAATCCCATTGGATTGGGGTGTGTAAGGGACCGTTGTTTGATAAATAATTCCATATTCTAAACATATTTGTTCAAAAGGAGATTCATATTCACCACCCCTATCATTTCTTATCATTTTGATTTTCTTGTTAAGTTGCGTTTTAACTTCATTTTTGTATTGCTTGAATGCGTCTATTGCTTCATTTTTACTATTAAGTAAGTAAATATAGCAATATCGAGTACTATCATCAATAAAAGTTATGAAATACTTCTTTCCACAGCGAGATGGTATTGACTTCATATCGCAAATATATGTGTGAATTAAGTCTAAAGGATTTGAATTCCTTTCAACTGACTTATAAGGATGTTTAACATACTTAGATTCCACACATATTTGATATTTTGATTTATCGCATTCAAATTTAGGCAATACTTCCAAGTTAATCATTTTCCGCAAGGTTTTATAATTGACATGATCCAAACATATATGCCATAATTCATTTGACTCAAGTAAGTAAGACGAAGCTGAAATTTTATTATTATTCTCAACAACCATTACATTCAGCTTAAAAAGGCCCTCAGTGAGGTAACTTTTTCCTACAAACATTCCGTTCTTACTTATTACAACCTTATCGAAAACAAAAACATACTTAAAACCATTCTTAACAAGAAGTCCAGCAGAGACTAAATTCTTCCTAATCTCGGGAACATGAAGGATATTGTTCAAAGTCATCACTTTGTCAAAAGTCATCTTTAGAAAGATATTCCCACATCCTTCAATCTTGGCTGTTGCATTATTTCCCATAGAAAGAGTTTCTTCGGGTCCAACAGGAGCATATGTTGCAAAGGCTTCCCTAACAGCACAAACATGGCGAGTGGCTCCAGAATCAATCCACTACTCCTTAGGATTTCCCACCAGGTTGCATTCAGAGAGCATAGCACACAAGTCATCAACATCTTCATGCTTTTCAACCACGTTTGCTTGACCCTTCTTCTTGTCTTTCTTCGGAGCATGACACTCTGTAGATTTGTGCCCAGCTTTCCCACAGTTGTAGCAATTTCCGTTGAGCCGCTTCTTGCTTGGGTTGCTTTTTGGTCCAGAAGTCTGCTTCCTCTTTCTCTTATTTTGAGAAGTATCCTCAACAATGTTTGCTCCCATTATTGTTAAGTTTCCACGGCCTCTCTTTTCAGCAGCTTTATTGTCCTCTTCGATTCTCAACCGAACAATGAGATCTTCAAGGGACATCTCCTTGCGATTGTGTTTCAAGTAGTTTTTGAAATCCTTCCACAAAGGAGGCAACTTCTCAATCATCACTGCTACTTGGAATGCTTCATTGAGGACAAGACCTTCAATGAAAATTATGTTAGTAAAAATACTAAAATTACTACTTTCAACATCAATATTAATTCGATTTATACCTTCAGCAAGGAGATCGTGAGTAATCACATGCAATTTCTAGACTTGGGTAATAACAGACTTGCTATCTACCATTTTATAGTCCAAAAACTTGGCGGCAACGAATTTCTTCAACCTGGCATCTTCTGTTTTGTATTTGTTTTCAAGCGCAATCCACAATTCTTTTAATGTCTCCACGCCACTGTAGACATTATACAAATCGTCCTCCAGTCTGCTAAGAACATAGTTCTTGCATAAAAAATCAGAATGCTTCCATGCCTCAATCACGAGAAAGCGTTTATTCTCTAGAATTTCATCGGGCAGAACAAGAACATCTTCCTTGATGAACTTCTGCAGACTTAAAGTAGTCAAGTAGAAGAACATCTTTTGCTGCCACCGCTTGAAATATAACCCGAAATTTTTTTCGGGTTTCTCCGCCGTTGTTCGGCTTGTTGATGCATTGGCAGTCACCATTGGAACAGTCTGGTTCCCGTTATCATTAGTCATTTCTGTAAGAGAATGACACAAACAAACGTTAAAATCACGTAGATTTTAATCTCCAACGAAGTAAAAACCCACAAAGGTTTTAAACTCTAAAACAGTGAATATAACACAAATACAGAATAAAAAATCAAATTCCTTAAGCTTGTTAGTAAATTGTATTTGTAAAATAATTCTGGGAAATATAAAATAACATAAACAGAAATATCAACGAAACAAAAATTAATCCGAGCCCACTGAATTCACAGTGTTTCCTTAAGGAATTTAATCCCCTCCTAGTACCCAAGGTTATGGATAATTTTCTCACATGATAGAACGAATTACACACTGGTATAGTGGTACTTCAAACCCCAGTGTTTCAGCGAACACAACGTTCGATAGCAAATCACAATTACTGTTGCTTTCTTTGAAGTTAAAACAACACAGAAGAAGGAGGAGAAACTCAGAAAATCATATCGAACTTCTGAGAGAACAGACTTGTATTTATAGCCAAAGTTGGCTGAAATCTGAAGACGTGCAACTCTTCAGAATGGTTGTTTATGCAAAACGACCATAGAATAAATGCCATAACATAAATGGTTATTTACTCAACAATAAAGAGGGAAAATTAAAGAGGGTAGTTTAATTTTCAGTTACACAACTGAAAAACGGAAAATTGATTGGATTTAATATTAATATTTATTTTAATATTAATATTTTGTTATTAAAACGAATATTTAATAACATTTCTGTTAATATTTTACTATTAACAAATAAATTTGGTCCAAAAAATCAATCAATCGATCCGAAGCCGAGCGACGACGATGGCGCGAGGCTTGCCTTCTTTTCAACTCTTTAAGAGCTAGAAGAAGAGCAATTGCTTATATACCCATAAAAAACCTCTTCCTCTTCCAATATGGGACAATGTTCCTTCGTCAAGGGGGGAAACTTAAAATTTTACTTAAAAATTTCATTTTCCTCCATTTCCCATTCACCCTTTTTTAAACATTTAATATACTTAAAGCCCTAACAGAAATGCCTACCAATTAGAGTATATTAACATACAACGCCGAGTGAAAATTCAAGAATATCAGGTGCAATTGATATGGAGGAAATTATTTCGTAAGAAAATGTAATTTAGTTATCCCACGTTTGGCAACAAAAATGCTCAGCAATTTGGCAACCAAACTTAGGAATGAATACCAATTCAAGAACGAACAACAATGCCGAGCAAAAAATCAACCATTACGGGTGTGTTTTAATTATGGAGAAAAATATTAATAATGTGTTACAAATTTTGAAACAATTACAAGAAAATACAATTGACTTCACACCATAGCAAAAAATGACCCATATTTTTAAGTTTTACCCGACCTAACCCATATTGTACATATTTAGAAAGCACTAGCAAATTCAAAATATATTTTCTTACAACCATTGCTTCTAAAAGTTATGAAGTTAAATCTATATTCTCACAACCATTGCTTTCACTCTCTTTTCTTCTCACATCTTCTACATATGCCTCAAGGGGTCGTCGTCCATTACTGCTTCTTCCCTGTGTCACCTGGTTACAATGTAAGAAAATTGAAGATTCATCATTCCACCATTGAAGGTCATTCAAAGTTTTGCTTTTAAAAATAAGATTTTTTGAGTTTGTTAGTTGTTTGGATTGGGTGTTGTTCCAATTGATTGAAAATACCAAAAGGAGTTCAAAATTTAAATTTGAAGTGATTTGCAGTAGATTTGAGCAAGATTTGAGTTAAATTTAAGAAAAAATGCAAGGAAGAAGACGAAGTCAGTTTTTTGTATAATTATGTATAATCTTGTATAATAGTGTATATGAGTGTATAAGCACATCTTATACACTATTATACATTTTTATACACCTTTATACAAGCGTCTGTAGACGAACCTCTTCCATGATTTTCAGTTGCAATTCTTGTTCAAAATCAGTCCAAATTTCCATTAAATGACTTCAAATTTTATATACAACTTCCTTATACTATTTCTAACAATTCTAGATAATACCCACTCCAAATTTCTCAAGAAATCAAATTCGGAATCTAAACCCACATATTTAAGCTTGTTAAAAATCTAATTTTTACCATCCAAATGGATTTGGTTTGTTGAACTAATATTTGAGTTACATTTACTGATTCGAAAATTAACTTAAAAGCTTGAACAATCTTTTTAAAAAATAAATAGTAATTTTGAGTATTTATTGTAGTTGAATGTTGAATCTTAACTTATTATTTTTGGGCTAGTTGGTTGTAAATTGAAATATGGGCTATAAAATTGAAAAGTAGGGATCCCAGTTGTTCTTATGTAAAATTTTCCCTAATTTGACTGGATTCAATATTTAGGAAAATATATTTTCCTGAAATTAGAGAAAAGAGTCCAAGACTTCCCTAAGACCTATAAGAAAATTATTCTTTATGACTACATTATTCTTTTAGATAGCAATGAATATTATCCCGCGTATATTAGCGCAAGTAGACTAACGAATACTATTCACATACGCGTTACCGACGGCGAAGAAAAATTCCAACACTTGGCACCATTTAATACTTATTCTAAAGTTCCTCATCACCATCTTCCCACTTTCCTTTCTTTTCTTTAATTAATTTCCACCATATAAACGACTTCAACTCCCCCGCAAGATTCACAAAACTGAAATATCTCTAAAATCTGTCCAAATATCTCATCTTGTTTATTTAGAGTAATAAATTACTAACTACAAATGGCAGGAACAAGTAGTTATCCTCCTCAGATGGCTGTGCCGCCGGCAGCAAATCAGGTTGCAATTATAAGCCCACAGTTCTGTGCTCCATATCCAGTTGATTTGAACATCGTGAGGAAAATGATGACTTTGTCTGAAGGGAGTTTCGGAGTTACCGATGTCAACGGCAACATCATTTTTAAGGTCAAAGGAAAGCTCTTTAGCCTTAGGGATCGCAGAGTTTTGGTTGATGCCGCTGGCAACCCTCTCGTCACTTTCCAACAAAAGGTTATATATATCCTTCTTCTTAACTAAATTTCCTTTTACTTCTATGCAGTATAGTATAATATTTACACAATCATATCATAGTTGCATATAAATTTAGTTTTTATGATAAAAATTGGTAACCTGTTGGAAATAATTAACTTGATAAAATAGTTACTATTGATCAGTTGCGGATTTATCATGTATTTTACACGTGAATTCAATAGTTGTTCAAACTTAGTATTTCTATTAAGAAATTGACTAAATATTTGACTGTTAACCAATTATTATTGTATATTAACTTGAGGTTGTTACAGATGTTATACCTTCAAATCCGAGATTCGCCTCTATTACTAATAATGTAAATTTTGTTATACTCTCGGTGAGATATATAACTTAAGTCCTTTACACATTTTCCTTAATTCGTGTTCATAGTATTTGTATGTTCTAGGCTTCTAGCTTAGTCAGACTATAATTAGTTTTTTCTGTTTTTTGTTGGTTTAACTGATTTTTTCCCTTCTCACTAACAGTACTATATATATCTGTTGAATTCATTTAGTTGATGCAATCCGTAGGCCGTAGTATTTGCATCTGTTCTTAGTAGTTTCTCAAATTAGGTCATATCCTCTCCTTGTAGAAAAGATCAAATGACCTAAAACTAGGAAGCTTGTTCAGTAGTCAGGTTTAGTCAGATTAAAGGGTATGATCTTGGTGTCTTATTTTCGGTAAAAAACTTACTCGCACTTGGTATTTGTACCAAATCATGCATATTTACCATGGTTAATTAATAAATTAAGTTGAGAATGTGTGTTAATTAACAATGATTAAGTGATAAGAGTGTATGTGAGACATGTGTCATATATTTATTGGATTGATGTAAATACCGGCCGGTTGCAGGTAAGTTTTTACGCGTATTCTCTGTCTTTAGTTTCTTTACGCCTACGACGACAGGTAAAAAAAATCATGAAAACTTGTTCTGTTCTCTGGATAGTTATAACCAATTTAGTCATTCATCTGCGATGAAAGGATGCATCTATGTACCATTCACCTTTGTTGTACCAAATTTTCCTAAATTTATATATCAGGGATTCAGGAAATCTAAGTATTAAGTAATAACCAGTAATATCGGGTCTCGTTAACGATTATGCCACTTTATTTCCACTGTAGCCTCTGTTTATGATACAGAAGAAAATAGTTCTTTCACTTTTACTATAGATAGACCAAAAATAACGACCATATCCGCCTCTGTATTGATTTAATCTTGCTTATTGTAAGAAACTTGCATCTAAGCAAAGGAATCCCTCATGACATTTATTCATTTTCCTTTTTCTATTTTGCATTTCAGATGTTGACTGCCCATAGGAGATGGCAAGTATACCGAGGAGAGAGCACCGATACCAAAAATTTCCTTTTTAGTGTAAAGAAGTCTTCACTTCTTCAATTCAAGACCAAATTAGACGTATTCTTGGCTCACAACACAAAAGAAGACGTTTGCGACTTCAGAATTGAAGGAAGCTGGTTTGAAAGATCTTGTGTTATCTATGCTGGAAATACTAATACCATAATCGCCCAAATGCATAGGAAACACACTGCTCAAAGTATATTGCTTGGGAAAGACAATTTTGGTGTTACTGTGTATCCGAACGTGGATTATGCTTTCGTAGTCGCTTTGGTTGTGATTCTGGAGGAGATCAATGAGGATAGATCGGGCGAAGACTAAGATTATATTATCACAAGTGTTGCCAATGTCTGATATTTTTGTGTAAACGAGTTTGGCTTTTGATTATGACTTGATTTCAGATGTAGATAAGGGTGTAAAACCGTTTTGTTTGCTAACTTTCGCCAGAAAGATTACTGATTGTAATATTTTGTGTTTGCATAAAGTGCTCATAGCGGCACTTCATTCTGTAATAATGCATAGTATTAAGTTAATATATAATATTTCCTTTTGGAACAAAAAGATAAGGGTGTTTTAACTAGTAACCCTTGTAATACTGTTATGTTATTATTGGAGTTTCTCCCCGAAAATGTTGTTGTATTAGGTAAAACTATTGCCACATAAACATGGTCAGCGATAAGAGACGTTTGTTAATGGTAATTCTGTCAAGTAGATGTGTTAAAATAGGAAACTTTGTAAGTTTGGTAGCCGGCTTAAAAAATTGGTGCAAGTTTAAGGGGTGTACTGCGTATAATAAATAATTGGACGCCCCACTCTCTTTCTCTCTCATTTTTTTAAGTTCAATTAGTAACAACGTACTAATGTGAGACTAGTCTGATCGGATTTTTATCTTAGATTGTGAGTGGTTAATGTTGTGTTTTTATTACTCTTCCGTTTTCCATAGTGCCGGGACTATTTACTCTTTATTGCTTTTGTTTTTCATCTATTTTCTAGTTTTTATGATGCTTTATTATTTCTATGGTTTCTGTTAATGGTACTGATATATTATCTCTTTTCGTCTTAAGTTGTTATATCTGATATCTCCTAATCGAAAAGGTTGCATAAATGATAAGGAGAAGGACTCCTTACTCGAGATAAGGGAGGAGTTAGAAGTTGAAGATAACTACAACTCTTCCACCAAGGAAGAGTATAACATTGGAACTCTAGTTATTTCCTATTCTACTAACTCTATATATTTCAGGATGTTCTCATTTTATAGGTACGCACAAATGATGAAGTTAAATGTGAGTTGAGAGCAAAATAGCAAGGTATTTTGCAAACAATTCTTGTATAATTCTAGTGTGCGAACCTGAAGCTACATGAACCAGCCAGTTCCAAATGTTTGTCTTTTATTCTAGTTTCATTGTAGTATGTGTTTCAAATTGCACCTTTCAACTTTATCTAGAAGCAATTGTATTAGGTACTATGGGTATTGTATTCAAGTTAGAGTTAACTTCAAGTTGTCGCAACAGTTAGAGGCTGACTACCACAGTGGGATTAGAGGTAATCCTTAGGTTTACAAAGAGTTTTGTAAATGCCGTTTTGACTCAATGATTTAGTGAAATGTTGAGGAAATCCTACTGAGTAGTAGGTCATGGTTTTTTCACCTTTTTGAGTCGGGTATTTTTCACGTAAAATACTTTTGTCTTACTTTCTGCATTTACTATTTCCGCAACAGCAGTATAAGGAACACGTAGAAGAACCAGGTCCTTCTATAATTTGTGCACGCGAAAATTGGACACCACACAAATCATCTCCCCCCCCCCTTGTGTGACATTGAAGTATAAAACATTAATCGGTATCAGAGCAGGTTATCCTTGAAGAGGCTTACACCTTAGGAGAAGATCAACATTAGTGAACCACCTGGAAACTGTGAAGGGCAATCTACTGCTAAACCACCACTCTTTAATGGCCAATACAACTCTTGGTGAAAAAAAGGATAAGAGATTACATTATAGGAGAGGACTATGAGCTATGAGACATTGTCACCGATGACCCACTGGCTACCTTGAAGAAAATACTAAAGGAGTAGATGTACCAAAGACAAGAGCGAATTGCACTATCGAGGACTTGAGGAAGTGGGAGAAGAATGCTAAAGCCAAAAAATGGCTTGTCTGTGGACTTGGTCTAGATAAGTACAATAGAATCCAAGGTTGTACCACTGCTAAGAAAATTTGGGACACACTACAAGTGGCTCATGAAAGAACACCTGAGGTAAAGACATCCAAAGGAACTCTACTGTACGCTCAGTATGAGAGCTTTGCTATGAAGGAAGGAGAAACCATTCAAGAAATGCACACAAGGTTCATTATGCTGACAAATGAGCTAAAATTTCTTGGAAGGATTATTCCTGAAGAAGAAAGGGTCGAGAAGATACTAACTAGAGTTTTGCCTATCACTTGGGAGAGCAAAATCACTGCCATCTAGGAATCAAAGAATATTATCACTCTTCCACTAGATGAATTAATTGGAAATCTTACTGCCTATAACTTAGGAGACAGACCATGAAGATAGATGTACCTAAAAAGGAAAAGAGTTTGTCTCTCAGAATCACTGAAGGTTCTGATCTAGAAGATGATGAAATGGCTATGATCACCAAAGACTTCAAGAAGTACCTGACGAGAGGAAAGAGTTCTTCAAGAAGTGAAAGCTATAGCAAATCAAAAGCTCCTAAGAAGCAAATCAATGATGGCTTCTACAAGTGTGGAAAGACTTATCACCACATCAAGAACTGTTCTCTATGGGAATTTTGAATGGAAGAAGGAAAGAGCTAAACGAAGGAATAGGAAAAAGGAACAGGTACAACCCAAGAAAAGCAATAACAAAGGATCAACCAAGGCTATGGTCGCTTCTTGGGGAGATAGCTTAGATGAAAGCTCTGATGATGATGATGAACGAGCACTTATGGCCATTGGAGAATCTAATGAAGAAGCTGAGGTAAGTGTCTCTCATCTCAAAGACAAGATTAAATTTTTGTCTAAAGAAAGGTTATCTGAGTTGCTTCTAGAGCTAATTGATAAATCTGAGGATGTAAATAATAAAAAGGAACAATTGTCAAAAGAATGTGTGGTTTTAAAAGCTAAGTGCAAAAACATGGAACTTAAGGCTAGTGAAACTGAAAATGAAAATGCTGTGTTGAAGAACCAGGTTTATGAACTTGACACATCTGTAATAGAATTTAGATCAGAAAATCTAAAATTGAAATTAGGAACAGGTAAAAAGAGAGTTGATCACACACAACTCACTCAGGAAAAAATGTAGGAAAAATAAAAGATGAGTTGTACAAAAGAGATGAGCGGATAAGAAGCCTAAAGGAGGATCTAAGCAAAGTCAAGCATGATCTAGACAGAACTTGTAAATAGAGCAGGTCCTCCGATGCACTTTCATGGCTACAAGAACACCATAGTAGAAATAGAGGAAGACTTGGCTTTGGGAACCTTGCACCTAAGTGGGATCCCAAAAGCAAGTACCTTACACTTACTGAGAACAAGATTTTCACACATTGTGGTAAAATAGGCCATAAAAGTGAACGTACTGCAAAAGAAAAGGCAAGTCAAAAGAACAGAGAATTTGTTCAAGGAAAGAATAGGCTACCAAGTTGGGCTAAAAAGAATTTGATTCATCCTTTTGCCTATAGAAAAGGACCCAAACTAGTTTAGGTTTCTAAGACTACCCCCTGATTTCTTTTTGCAGGTCCAAGTGAAGGGGAGCAGCCAAATATGTTACATGGATAGTGGTTGCTCAAAGCATATGACAGGAAGTAAGAACCAGTTCCTTTCACTTGAGGACATTAAAGGAGAAAATGCCTCCTTCGAAAATGGGAAGAAAGGTGAGATTATTGGGGTTGGCAAAGTAGATAAGACTGACTCCCAATCTTTGAGAATGTGTACCTAATAGATGGACTGAAATATAGTCTAATAAGTGTATCACAACTGTGTGATAGACGTAACATAGTGTCATTCACCTCTACAAAATGCGTTGTGATTAATCTTACCACTAACAAGATAGTTTTGGAGGGAAAAAGAGTGAAAAACATATATGTTGTGGATTTGTCCATACTTTCAGATAATGAACTCACTTGCTTAAGTGTGTTGGATAATGATCCCTTCCTTGGCATAAGAGACTTGGACATGCTAGTCTAAATCAACTCAACAAACTAGTCTCCAAGGACTTGGTGATAGAGCTGCCTAATATTAAGCTCAAGGAAGATAAAGTTTGTGAGGCTTGTGTAAGGGAAAAGTAGGTAAGATCCTCTTTCAAAAGCAAGAAAATGGTAAGCACCACCAGGACGATGGAACTGGTCCATATGGATCTTTGTAGGGCAATGAGAACATTGAGCAGAGTTAGTAAGAGATATGTTATAGTGCTTGTTGATGATTACTCTAGATTTACTTGGACACTGTTTTTTAACATCTAAAGATGAAGCATTTGATATGTTCACTTTTTTTGTTAGAAAACTCAGAAACAACTAGGTAATCAACTTGCATCAATTAGGTCTGATTATGGTACTAAATTTGAAAATACTAAATTTGTTGAAATTTGTGATAACATGGCATAAATCATAATTTTTATGCTCCTAGAACTCCACAATAAAATGAAGTAGTTGAAAGAAAGAAAATTACAAGAAGAAATGGGTAAGACTATGCTTCTTTCTAGTAAACTGCCCCATAGTTTCTAGGCAAAAGCTGTAAACACTGCACGCTACATCATAAATAGGTACATAACTAGACCTCTTATTGAGAAGACTCCCTATGAGTTTCTTAAAAGGAGAAAGCCAAATATATTCCACCTTAGGGCATTTGGATGCAAGTGCTTTGTGCACAATAATGGTAATGACTCCCTAGGTAAGTTGGGATATTCTTCATATAGTAAAACTTATAAGATTTATACCAAAAGAACTATGTGTAAAGAAAAAAGTATACATGTGATTTTTGATGAAACTAACATTCTTTCTGAGAGGCAGGAATATGATGATGAAGCAATTAGGCTGGTAAGAAACTCAACTGAAACCACAGCCCAGACTAAAGTTGCACCAGAGGAAGGAGCAGGTGATGGAATAGCTCCTTCCACCCAAGGTAACCTGATAGGGGGAACTGAACTGAGAGGAACTGATCCTCAAACCTCAAGGGAACCTTTCCATGAACATGTTCCTCAACAACAAAACACTAAAGGAACATCTAGGGGTAACCATCTAGTTGTGAAACCTTACAAGTATCAGAGTTCTCATCACATTAAGAACATAATTACTGATCCAACCTCTAGAATCAAAACCAAATCTTCTTTAAAGAATCTTTATGATTTTGATGTTTTTTATCTCTTATTGAACCTAAAAATGTTGCTGAGGCTTTATAGGATGCAGGCTGGATAAATGCAATGCAAGATGAACTCAACTAATTTGAGCGAAGTCAAGTTTGGCATCTAGTACCAAGACCCAAGGACAGATTAGTAATTGGTACAAAATGGGTCTTCAGAAACAAACTCAATAAAGATGAAACAATTACAAGGAACAAGGCAAGATTGATGGTTCAAGGATATAGTCAA